ATAAATGGACATTGGATGTGCAGCCATGCACCAAGGATAAACGGGAACTGCAACAAATATGTATTTGTCCAGATATTGCTCAAGTTCCTGTTTGTAAAGAAATAAATAACTGCCTCAGAGACCAACACCCTATTTTGTTTTATAGAAAATAACTTTCCAGAGTAATATTCAACCCATGTATGTAAGTTTAAATCTAACAGCTGAATCGAATAAATAGGCCCGCACATCTTGACTGACTTGACCTGCTTATATATAAAACTACCATTCAAAACTTCTCAAAGTCAAGCACCTGTGAGCCCCTTTACCACTGGGGTTGTGGCCTGTTCCTTTGTGTCTGGCTGGTAAAATATTCAGGAAGGTCTCAGATAGGTTACCTGATCTGTTGGAGTATAGTTACAGCCTGCATTGTCATGATGGGGGCAGGAATGACACATACTGTATTGAAGGGTTAAGTTTCCACAGACGTGGGCAGCAGACTCACGATGCTCACACACACTCATTATTTTCCACATTTCCCAGTTATCTGGAGCCGTATTCAATCACGCTCATTTAGAAGCTGTCCTTAACTTTGACTGACAAATAAATACACTTCCATTTTCTCATCCCCCTCGCTCACAGTGCCTGCTCTGTTCGCACACTGGTTTCTTCTTAGTCCCATCCTGATGTGAATTGCTCTTAGAGACAAGTGTCTTTGAGATGAAGCTGCTCCTCAGGTCTGGGAGACACCAGGCTGTCTCTGGGGGAGTGGACTACTGTACCAATCACTGTCATTCACGATGAGACCTGCCTGGCACACACACACACACACACACACACACACGGGGAGGGGTACGATGGGCCAGTAGTCATGAGCGAAACAAAAAGGAAATCTGGGGCTCTTGAGGAATTTTAAACGAGATGTAGGAAAGCTGAAATAAACTGCTGAAGGGAGATGAAGTAATAACATGAGTGGATGGAAGGAATGAGGTGAGAAGGGAAATCCTGTGAGAATGGCCGCGCTTTCTAGCCGAATTACTGACAGACAGTAGAGGAATGCAGCGCTATGGCTGGCCTCAAGCGCACTCAATAACTTTACTCATCCTCTGGTTTGCCCACTTAGTCCAGGAAACCCAAGCCTTTCCCAAGCGGGGGAAAATGCCACTTCAATAGCAGGGAAAAACAACTCCAGACCGGAGATGAGAGTCCAGCAATCAGCACTGACAGCGTTCGTGTTTTTGTGTGTGTTGTGTGTCTTTGCGTGTGTGACTATGTGTGTGTATTTGCGGTGATCAAGACTGTCGGATCTGATTACAGCCCGCTGCAGTAGCCTGTGAGAAGTGAGAAGAAGACAGGCTACAGAGCACAGCGATGTGTCCAGTGCCCAGTGAGCATTATAGTCAATTATATATAATTCCCTTGACATGCACCCACATGTTAATGCATTAACATACACGAATCTGTGTCATATTTACAGACACAGATACACACACACCACCTGTCCACTCCCAGGCATCTTTTTCATTTCAGCTTTGGCTCAGGAAACTACTATTATAGTCTTCACCAGCAAGAATGAAATATTCTAATGGTATAATATTCATGTGTTATTGGCACCTGGTAACTATGTTGCTTTGGACAAGAGTTTAAACTCTGTTTTTCCCTTTTTGAGGTTTTAATATAAATGTTGACATTAAGGATTAATATTTAAAGGTCCAGTGTGTAGGATTTAGAGGGATGTATTGACAGAAATTGTGTTTTCTTTTGTGCATAATCGCCAGAAAATAAGAATTGCTGTGTTTTCATTACCTTAGAATGAGCCAGTTATATCTACATATGAAGCGGGTCCTCTTCCACGGAGTCTGCCATGCTTCTACAGTAGCCCAGAATGGACAAACCAAACACTGACTCTAGATAGGGCCATTTGCGTTTTTAGATCAGTAACCTTAGCTGCAAAATGCCACGAAATCCTACACAACAGACCTTTAAGACATACATTTATAAATCTGAATTTAAAATGTCGGGACTATTTTTAGAAGCAACAGCCATCCTGTCAGCTGTATTAGTGGCTCAATGAATGAGACATTCAACATCTTAATAATGACGTTATGTCTCATAAGCTTTAGGTTGGTAACCTTTTACGAAACCTGCCTTGCACCAACATACAAAAGAAAAAAAAAAAAAAAAGATGTCCCTCTTCCTCCTTATTGTGCTTAACAACATTTGCAGAATCCACTGCATGTGAATGAAAACAACCAATCAGATTTATGGAGTCTCTAATGCAGCTGTCAATCATGTCAATCACTAAGTGCGTTTCCATTAACCCTAAACCTAAATATCGCAATAAAAAACTGGTAATAGAGACACCTACATTTCTAAAAAACTCTCAAATATCGAGAAAAAGTTTTTACGCTCTCATGAGGTGGTTTTTCAGACGGTCCATATAGAAGAATATCGCAAAAGTGTAATGGAAACACTTTTTTCGTCAATATACGTCACCAGACATGACATTGATGAATTCCTTGTTCATGATCCTCTCCCTGAAATCCTTTATACATAAGGACTTTGCCTTTGGAATACCACTCGCTCTCTTCGTCTTCCGTTGTAGACTACTGCAACAGCAGCAGTGGCAACCGAGATGATTGTTCCAGCTCGCAAGAGATTTGGAATGTCCATCTTACTTCCACAAACAAAGTGGAGTCTCGTGGGACGAGATTTTACGAGAATTACGGCTCATACGCAAAACACCTTTTAATTGAAACACCTGCAAGTCGCAATTGTACTTTGTCGAAACTTTAGAAATATCGCATTTATTTTGCACAAAACTGTAATGGAAACACGACTACTGCCTGTAAACTGCGGTCAAACTGTCAAACTCGGCAGTGCTGATCAAATATGAATCAAGATTCTGTTCCTGCACTGCCTATTTTGCCCCTCAAATGATTTCAGAAGGATATTTCAGTGTACTGTTTAGCTACCCTGGAAATCCAGAGTTCTTGCGAGAGCACAATTTGAATTTGCTCAACGAGTCACTCTGGCAATCAGTAATGTTGCTCATTACCCATGCTGTTGGAGCCGAGCTGCACCGATCACATCGGTGTATCTGATATAGGCGGGCCAGAGGCGAGCTAAACAGATGACGACGGCGCTGCGACGACGAAGTCCGGAATCAGTCAGTAAACATTGCAAGATGGCTACGGATGAACACCAGTTGTTTGAAACGGCTTTGACCGCTACGATGAACGAGTTAGACTTGGCTTTTTCTCTAAAAAAAGAACAGAAGATGGCGCTCAAGTCTTTCCTTTGCAAGAAGGACGTTTTTGCCGTTTTGCCGACCGGACACGGCAAGGGTCTAATCTACCAGTTAGCTCCACTGGCAGCTAAGATCTGGATACGTCACCCCGTGTATTGTTCTGATTGGTCGTAGTGTTATCCAGTTGCGTGCAGTGATATTTTCCAATGCATGCTTGGTGCCGCTCCTCGAGTTGGGCCATTTGCATTACTCATAGCCAGACCGTAAATCTTTCTAGATTTGGGTCTGGATTTCCAGGCTACTGTTTAGCTGTAAAATGAGAACGTTTGTGAAATGGCTGCCAAATTGGAAACTTTGGAATTTAGGAAATTCTGGAAAATTGGAGAGCAAACGCTGCCATTTTACAGCTAAACAGTACACTAAATATGTTTCTGAAAACATTTGAGGTGAGAAATAGGTATTGCAGTGAAGGTATCTTGATACATATTTGATCAGCGCTGCCTAGTTTGACAGTTTGACCACACTTCACGAGCAGTGATTGACATGATTGACAGCTGCTTTAGAGACTCCTCTGCTCCGGTTGTTGTTTTCTAAAAGCCATGGTAGTTTCTAGCAAATGCCATGAGAAGCACTATGAAGAGGAGGAGGAATATGAAATATCTTCACAGGCTACAGGTCTCATGTACCACTGTATGGCTGTTTTGACAGTTTCAGCCAATATAACAAAAATTTATTTACTTAAATAAAAATTACCAACTGTAGCTTTAACGTCAGCAAACCTTAACCATTACTGTTACACTGCATCATGGCAAAAGGCTGACCTCAGCTGCACATAAATGGTTCATAAAACATTAGCTAGCTATCAGCGGTGATAGACTGACGACTAAATATTTCCCCCTGACACTGATCTGCTGCAATCACCGTGATTTGTCTCACTGAGCTAAGATTGTAGCGGACACTTGATAGACTTAATTGAGGGGGAAATCTTTATAAACTGGGGGTGATGCCACAAAGTTACACCTATGACAAAAGGACACGCATGCACACAAAAACAATTCTCTACATGCCACACAAACAGAAACATGTACACACAGAAAACCACCCACTGAAAACCAATTCTTTCAAGTATGATGTATTCTGCTGACTGCGAGGGCCAAAATTCCTTGCACATGTAGGGACAATTAGGCCTAATTTTGGCCCAAATTGCTTCCTGTAATGATGAGTGGACATAGTTAGCAGGCCGTTCTCGACTGCCTAACACAAAGAGATCTAAAGTATCAGTTCCAAGTCTAGAGAGTGATGGAGAAAAATGCTAAATGCTGCCCGCCCTCCAACCCCCCACACACACACACCTCCATCTCTCCACATACAACCCGCCTCCATCCCTAACAGCAGTGATAAAAATCATTATAGCCATAGCGTTTAGAAACTTCAAAGATGAAGAGGAAAAAGCTGCCAGCTTTCTCCAGCCTTCTGACTGACTGACCCGCCCACGTGTACCAGCCCACTGGTGGACTAAAGGAGCCACACACAGAGACATTTTTTTCCACCCACCTCAATGTCCATTAGAGAAACAAAACAAGAAAGAAACCAAGGCAGAAAAGGCAAGATTGTGTGCACCTGCAGAGGTCGTGATGAACTCTGATATCTCATAAGTATCTGTGTATGCAATTTGGTCATAAAGCTTATTTTTCCAGGAACATGCACATTGATCATCATCACTGTAACTGTATTGGACAAACAGCTAATTTTCTTTGTGTGTGTGTGAACTGACCTCTGTCTGAAGTGTGTTGGCCCGTTGCTCCTTGGCGCTGAGCGACTCCTTTAGCACCTCGATGTGTTGTTTGCAGTCTGAGTTCTGATTGGTCAGTGTTTCTAGTTTGGTTTGCAGGGCCTGCATCTCTGCCTCCTTCCTGTTCAGCTCCTGCTTCAGCTGCTCAATCTGACAATCACAGAAACACGAGCACAAATTTGTCATGCACACCTTTTAGTCATCATTGAGTCAATTGATATACTTGCAGATAACAACAACTTTCAAGGTGAGAAAAAAAGTTTTTATTTCTGAAGCAAACACACACATGCACAAACACAAACTGCACACACACCTCCTGCAAAAACACACCGTGTGTCATTGTTGTGTAGTTCTGAATGTGACCAATTTCTCACACTTTGCTCTCTATGAACAGAACTTTCAAAACAAGCAAGAGGCCTAAACATGCTGTTTATTATAGGAGTGGGCAACACAGACAATATTGTGAAAGCTATCATCATTCAAAATTACATTAAAAAATCATTCCACTAAGTCAAATTGCTTTAATATCATAAAATCAAATACCTTTGTAAGAAAAATGTCACATGCTGTGACCCATTTTAGTAAAACTGAACCTTCTGTCATCCATTTAAACATGAAATTGTAAACTATAACATCTACATATGTCATTTGTGTCTTGATACATTTCTGGAGAGATGATATATTACATTATTGAATTATCACCCAGCCCTACATTATCAGTCCTCACTCAGGGGAGTCCCAGGCCTACTGTCTGCTCTGTGGACCCACCAAGCTCAACAGCCAAAGAGTGAGAATGCATGCAAGCAACAAGAGTTATGGGGGAGCAATATTACACTCACATAGCTGACAGATTACAGATAGTTTTAAGGAAGGCTATACAGAACAGGACAGAAATCCACAAAGGAAATCAAATGCATTAACAGAGGGAGGTTTCTGTGCTGAGGCCTAGCTATGTGCACAAGATTGTCATCTGTCTGCTAGTGCCAAAAATGCACAAAGCTGATTTGAGGAGAGATTTCTCTAATTGTGTGAGCAGGGTTCACCTCATAATAGACCAGAGCTTGGCCAATCAACCCTTACTCATAAAAAAAAGAGCCAGAGAAAGCAGGGAAAATGGGGGGCTGAATAATCAGAGACAGGAGTCAAAAGGTGAGGTGGAGTCAAAAAGGGACTCTGTGAGGTGAGACTGTGTATAAAGATGGACAACATGTCTCCACTTCCTCCCACTGTACATGAATAAAGTTGGTCGGGAAGTCAAGCTGGGGTATGTTCACAACCATACACCAATCCGACCAATTGTAAGCAGCGCAATTGATCGTGAGAACAACACCTGATACACAGCTGTCAATCATGACATCAACTTCTTAAAGCATCAAATAACTAATTAAAGCCACCAGAAATATTAAAACTTTAAAAAACATCTTGATAAGAACTACCTCAAATGACAGAAACCACTTTTGGTAAAATTATATCAGGCGATCTCTCAGGCGGGGGAGTTCAGGTATCTCGGGGTCTTGTCAGGAGTGAGGGTAGAAGCGAGCGTGAGATGGAAGTGGCAGTTTGGTGCGGCTTCTGCAGTGATGCCGGCGCTGCGCCTGATTGTCGTGGTGACGAGGGAAGTGAGCCTAAAGGCGAGGCTTTCGATTTACTGGTCCATCTACGTCCCAACCCTCACCTATGGTCATGAGCTCTGGGTAGTGACCGAAAGAATAAGGTCACGGATACAAGCGGCCAAAATAAGTTTCCTCCATGGGGTGACTGGGCTCAGCCGAAGAGATAGGCTAAGGAGCTCGGACATCCGGGGGGAGCTCGGAGTAGAGCCGCTGCTGCTTTGTGTCGAAAGGGGTCACTTGAGGTGGTTTGGGCATCTGATCAGGATGCCTCCTGCTGGAGGTGTTTCAGGCACGTCCCACTGGTAGGAGGCCACGGGGCAGACCCAGAACACACTGGAGGGATTATATATCTCATCTGGCCTGGGAACACCTTGGGGTGACACTGAAGGAGCTAGAAAGCGTTGCTGGGGAGTGGGATGTCTGGGGTGCTTTGTTTGGCCTGCTGCCCTTGTGACCCCGCCCCGTATAAGCAGATGAGAATGGATGGATGGATATATGAGGTGTACTTTGCGTTTTTAGTTTGGCCCATATTCCATGGAGGGGGCAGAGTTTATGACCTATACTGCAGCCAGCCACCAAGGGGCTCCAGATGTCTTGGCTCCACTTCTGGGGAGCTTTCATGATGTCCATCTTTGGCTACAGTCTTTGGGTAAGACTGGTGAGAGGAGACGAAGACAGAGACAACAGGAAGTGGGAAAATATGTAGGGAGTGGACTGAAAATAATATGATAAAGTGATAGAGTAATTATAGATAAAGAAGGAAATAGAATATCAGTTCGAATGACATAAACAATCAGACAGGCTAATAAATGGAGTACTTCTGCTTGCTCTGTGATCCAGGGCTGCTGGGTGGGGAGAAGGACGGTGGGAGCGGTTCTGGTGGAAGACACACATGGTGACAAGGCCTGCTCCTACATGGACACAAAGACAAGAAGACAGCAAGCCACTAAACTACGGCCCACAGCCAGATGGGACACTGTCTAGGTTTCCCAGCTGGCTGCATGCTCCTCCACACTCCTCCACACACTGCACTCCTCAGCCTTACCACTGAGGCTTCACACTGTTACAGTTGGTGAAGTTCTGTTAGAAATGATTGTCTAGATAAATACATTGACCTCTGCTTTAATGCTCACTTACCATACTTGAACAGATTTTCACGTTCTCAAAAGCCACTTTCTAGGGTTCATGTAAATCAAAGCCCACGGAGGAAACCGGAGAACACAGGGATGCTGTCTCCTCCGGTTACCCTTATCACAGTTTCGCCTCAACACCAGTCGCCACCACTGCTGAAAGACCAGGACCCTACACACTTCAAAGATATGGAATGAATCTGTGCATTTCCACGGTTTCTCTCTGCGTTACACAGAAAGATGAGCCATGGGAGAGCGAGCCAGGGCCATAACTGTGATGTATATCATCCCAGGTCAGTACGGGTGAGGAGAGAGCTCTTTCCTCTGTCGTTGTAAGCTCACATCCATCTGTCAGGGCCCCATTCATAAAAACATCTCTTTTATGATTGCATCAGGAACTTCCCCGATGCAATGACAAATGGGCTCTACAAAGAGCACCATTAATGAACAAAAGAGGAACATTTTCACATGGAGCGCTACTCATGGGCCTCAGCCATCGTGGACACTCAGCTAGAAACACAGTGAAACTTGAACTACGTTTTTCTGTATGGCTCCTGGAGATATGTTCATGTGCCTATCCAAATGTGTGTGTAACAGTCTGGGCACTGCTATGTGCTTATGAATATACAGCCTGGAACAGAGAAATCTTAGTCAGGCCTTCTTAAAGTTCTTCCTGCCAGCTGAAGGTTGGACAGCAAACGGATACGGTGCACTGTAAGCTGATAGGGCCTGAGTTTGCTCCCTCAGAACAGTCAGCCGTCACAGATAGGAGAGCAGCACAATCCTGGGTAATCACACAAGTAAGATAGGTAAGGAGCACAAGCCTTTCATGGGAAATAAGGACGAAACAGGAAACCTCACTCTCAATATGAAATAACAGATACATTTATAAGCGTAGGAGTTCTTGGTATCCATGCAACACGGGAGGCTAAAAGCCTCGATAAAGCAGCCAAAAGACACAACATTCTGTAACATGTAGTTTGGCATCAAGATTTCACCACGCTGATGCTCGCTTATCCGTGAGCATGCAACGCCGACATGCAACATGCACATAACAGGATCTCAAGCACTCGTAATTCGTAAGGCAAACATGCATCGCGCAGTCGTGCAGTGTGAAGTCGTCTCGGGTGGCGTGCAGAGACATTCTACCTTAGTCTTCATGAATTTAGAATGGCTCTTGTAGACCTCCACCTGCTTGAGCTCATCCTGCCTGTCGTCGGGGTGCAGCAGGCCGCTGGTCTTTAACATCTGGACCTCATCCTCTAAGTCTCTGATGTTCCTCTCCAGTGAAGAGATCTTGGTGTCCTGCACCAGCAACAGCAGGCGGGCAAAAAGTCAGCAAAGATCTCGCTTTGGATATCAGGCTCTGGACTTCAATAAAGGCTTAACTATCTCACATGTTCATGATCTATCTAACTATCAATTGATCCCCCTTAAAGCAGCCATCACAGAGACGGGACAGACACAATATCATTTAAAAAAAAAAAAGGAAGACATTCATACTGCTGCACTTTTTGTGCACATGAAAGGTAACAGAAATAGCTGTGTAAAGAATGTAAAAGAGAGCTAACCCTGGCTGCTATTTTACCTCTGCACAGCTTGCCAATCACGGCTTGAGGTAAGTGAATGTCGGATTGTTGGTTTTGTCAGACACAGCCTGGATCACACTCAGTGCTTGGCTAAAGCACCACTAACAGCGATTCAGCATATTTACAAAAGACTTCGCAGCATCCTGTATCTGGATTGTAACCTATTAATGGGAACCCTCTTTCCAACTACAATGTCTAGTAAAGCAGGGTAAACCTCAAGGCAGTTATGTGGAGCCAAGATGTTTTCCTTTGCAGTATCTATGAGGGAATGGAAGGGTCTGTCATGGACAGGTCCCGAGGTTGTTATGCTGCATGGGTTCAGACATACGTTAAATGCTAAACCTTGGAAGAGAAGAGAAAGGTAATTGAATAAATGGAAGCAGACTGCATGATGCCATCAGCACAAACCACAGGCAACATGTACGCATCTGACCTCTATTACATCCTCTGACATCAGCCCTGCCTATAGCATGTAGCCATGTACCATCCTAAAAATACAAACACACGTAGACTAGGCGATGCATAAAGGTACACATAACACACACACACACACACACACACACACACACACACACACACGCACACACACACACACACAAGGAGTGCATGCAAGGACATAGACTGTTAATGAAAACCCAGAACAAAGTCAAGGTGGGGCATTCAGGCATCTAGGGGAATCCCTCCACACAAAACAAAAACACCCACACACAGACCATGCTACTCAATCATTTCCATTGCTTCATGTTGATTTCTGGACTGTAAGCTGTGCTCGATCTTTAATAACTGATTGCTATCTGTTTCTGCTCCAGAGCACAGAGAAAAAAACATCACCCAGAGGAAGAGAAACAAGGCAAACCCAAAGAAAATACAGAGGGTAAGATCAGAAACAACAGTCAGTACAATAGAAATACATGTAAGAAAAGCTGGGCCTCAAAACCGCCGAAGCACGAACCACTGTACATGACCGTGCAGCATTCCAACCTCAGAAGAATTTATGATAGGGATAGAGGAAAACACAAATACAGTATGTATTTGCAGCCTATGTTGATTTGAAGTATTAAGAGGTGAGCACTCATTACTGTACCTGCCAGATAACGTCAGGATCAAAACAGAAAGGGGGGTTGGTGTTCTGTAATCACAAAACGGAAACATAAACCACTCAGAAAAATCGACAGCACAAACTGGAGCAAACACATAGGAAGAAGGACATACTGCATTTCACATCAATACTCAACAAGGTAGACTGAGGACAGCTTTAAAAAGCCACAACACAGGGAAATAAATTTGTCCTCCTTGTTATCAAAATCACCAAAGCAAGACTGTTACAGTATCTTTCTCTCTCTTCGCCCCCATCATATGTCGAACCCTTCTTGCAATGTTTGTTTTGCATTTCTAATTAATGCAGTCAGAACTCACTTGGCCTCTCTCATGCATTTATAACAGTGTGGGCATCCCAGCACATGTGCAGTCTGTTAATAGGCAGACAAATCACAAAGTATGTGTGAAAAATAACTGTGGTTTTGCTGTAAAGGAACCACTTTTAGAACAAGCGCTCGCCGTATGAACGCTAACTATGTGTGTGCGGGGGTGTGCATGCAGACACATGTGGAGTCAACTGCATTTTTCACAGCTCTAACGACTTCAAAGGGCTAAGATGAGAGTGAAAGCTTCCATATGTGACATTTGAAACAAATTGAATAAGTGCTTGACTCTGCATGGGCCAATAATGGCCTTTACTTGGGCATGGCCGCCGTACAGACACAAGGCAACAATAAGACGATGTCTTTAAGATTGTTTGTGCATGTATGCTTGTATCTGCATTTACAAGGCGAGCCAGGTCCTCCACTACTGCTCACATTACAGCAGTGCGTATCAATTATTAAAGCTTTGTTGGTATGAAGCTGATATCAGACGAAACCAGACAACTGAGGAGCAAACTACACCGCTCGAACTAGATCACAACATCATACAACAACACCTACAACAGTTAAACCTCGCTGGTGCCATACACACTCCCCATGTAGCAAATTATTACTTCAAATTTTGCCTGCTCTTGTTGCCACTGTAAGTCCTACCTTCATATCAATGACAGTCTGCAGAGCTCTGGTCTTGGCCGGATCAGCTTGGAGCTGGTTTCTGCGATGGAGCTCCTGGGGAGGGACCCGGTAAAAATAAGCCTGGCGGCTCATCATCTTTAGTACTTTCTAACACCCACAGCTACAGAGCCGCTTAAAAAGACACACTGATCAGTTTGACCAGTTCCAGTCTCTATCGCTCTTAAACCATTGCTGTTATCCTCCACCTCACATCCTTAAAAATTCTGGTTTTGCAACAAAAACAAACCAACAACTTTTCCTATGATCTTCGAGCTGGTGCTCTCCCGAGGACTTGTTTCCGTCTCTAACAGCAGGTGTCGATATGCTCTCTGCTTTCTCTCTTTCTCTGTCTTTCTGTCTCCGTTCGTTAGCAGGAAGGAGACGCACTCTGCAATAAGCGTATGAATCTGTCTCTATCACCCTTTCAGTCTCTGTCTTTCTTTTTATAATCTCTGACTTGTTATCTGTGTCTCTCGCAGATGTCTCTGGCAGGCTAAAGCTCTTGCTTAGCAACACTTTCTACCAGCACATGCGCTACACTTCTTCTATCAATAATTAATGGTAGCGCTGACCTACAACTATGCCCACACACGAACACACATATTCAAGATAATGGGCACACACACACACACACACAAATACAAGTTAAACATACTTGTTGAGCAGTCAGTTTGGGGAAAAAACTGCCCTGGAATAAAATGAAAGTGTTTCCATCTCATGGTTGTATTTTGTTGTTCTATTTTACATGTCTGCCCTGCTCATGTGGGTAAATGGAGTGGACAAAATATTAGAAACACCTTATAATAATACATTAATATATAGAGCGGGAGAGGTCAGTGCAGTCTCAAATGTGTTTGGGGAGAGAGTTCTAGAGGGAGGGGGCAGCTATAGAGAAGGCTCTGTCATCCCAGGTCTGGTGCTTGGTCCTGAGTTGTGGATTCAGGAGGTTGGCATCAGAGGGGCGAAGGATGCAGGAAGAGTATGGCAGTGGAGCAAGTCAGTGAGGTAGGAGGGGGCCTGGTTATGGAGGGCTTTGTAAGTGAGGAGAAGGACTTTGAATTGGATGTGTTGTGGGACAGAGAGCCAGTGGAGGCTCTGAAGGACGGGGGTGATGTGATCGCAGGAGCAGGAATGGGTGAGCAGCTGGGCAGCAGAGTTCTGGATGTATTGGAGTTTATTTAGGACTTTGGACAGTGGTTAATTCTGGATGTGATGAAGGCATGGATGAGAGTTTCAGCAGCAGTGGGGGAGAGTGATGGGCGGAGACGAGCTGTGTTTTTAAGGTGGAAGAAGGCAGCACTGGTGATTTTACTTTTGTGTTTTTTGAAGGAGAGGTTGTTACTCTGAGGTTGTGGAGAGGAATGCAGAAGCAGAAGTTGAGTAGTTAAAGCACGGTGGTCTGACCTATCTCACATTTCTGTTGTGCTTATTTTATGTACTGTGTTGCTTTGCTAACATCTTTGACAAACCAAATGTACCCGCATGGAAGAAAAAGGAGAAGAAGATATACTTTATCAATCCCCTAGGGTAATTACATTTTACTCTGTTGTCATAACACACAGGCCTGAAACACACACATGCACAAGCAGGACCTATACATGCATTAAAGGAGAGATGTCAGAGCGAGGGGGCTGCCCATGGACAGCAGTTGGGGGTTTGGTGCACCTCAGTAGTGCCCAGGAAGCCAACTGTCACCTCTCCAGCAACCAGTCCACACTCAATATTTGTTCCAGACAGTGACTTAAACTAGTGATCCTACAGTTCCCAACCCAAGTCTCTATGGACCAAGCTACTGCTGAAGTTAAACAAAGTACTGCTGTGGACGAAGGCTGCAGAAAATTTTAGCCACCTAAAAAATCAGTATCAGTGTAAGTGTACGCTATATTTAGAATATTTTCTTCCCTTTACTTTACACACTTACCAATCGAGACAGCTGTATATCTGTAACTCCAATATTCCATTAAGTTAAATTACTGTTTTTGTCAATGGAGTCTGGTGGCTAAGATGTAACGGTACCAGTTGCCCGTCGGAAGAGGTAAAGGTAAGGTAAAAATATATTAAATACAGCCTATACTTAAACTTAAACCAACCAGCTGAGGCAGCGTTTGCTCAGAACCATTTGAGTTTATGTACACGACGCAAAGATTTTCTACCCAGAAGTTATTGTAAACAAACACTGTGTTTCGGTTTGTAGACCGTTTCACTGGAGCAGCATTGCTAGGTAACAGCTTGGGTTCATGTCTACTTCCTGTCAGCTAAACATTCCAACAGGAAATGCAAAGAGGCCCATTTGAAAGTTTATCTTGTCAAGTTTGAAGCAGTCTACAGCTGAGAGCAATGCTCTGTTTGTCACAAGCACCCTCTTCACACCCACACAGCCACACACACATTCACACACCCAGAAGCCGCCCTGCACAACCACCGTCTGATCTGCTGGCCACCAAGCGGCTCCGCCAGAGAAGTTGGGGGTTAGGGGCACCTCAGTTGTGGTAATTCGGGAGTGGCCCTTGCTCAAAGGCACCTCAGTGGTGGCAAATGCTGCTCTTTCAATCCCCACCCAGATTTATCTTTATTGAACCGCAGGCTTGTGACCCGCATGCTCGTCAAAGCTTTGGGCCACCACTTCCAGCTTCACAGAGGAATCGCTGCATGACCATTGCATTGGTTTATATAATGCAGTACCTCTATGGAAAATGACAAGGTTGAGTGGCACTGAAAAATGAGGAATGCTGCCTCTCTCGCCAGTGGGACAGATACACAAACCGAAGGTACAGATGGATTAAAGGACAGAGAGACTGCAATACATCAAAGCCAAAATTAGAAAAATAACAGACAGTCAGTGGGTAAAGGAAAGCCACCAAATCAGACAGAAACCACATGGACATGGGGCATTCACATTAAGGCAGCTCATCAGTCAGTCAACGGACATAAAAGGACTTTGGAAAAGCATGAATAGACACACAGGGAGAGGCAACAGGTCCCCATGATTTCCTGTTGCTCCCATTCTTCCCAGTTCTCCCAGTGAGTTGAAATAAGAGGAGACAAGGACTTTATCCTCTTGTCCATGTCAGTTGTGGATAAGGAGGGATTACTGCTGTCAGAGCATGCCTCCCACAGACTGGTATGTCCACTGCCACAATACTAATCTCCTACTGACCATATGTGTATTAATGTGTCACTGTGAGTGTGTGTTTTTGTCTTCCTGTTCACGTTTAAGTCCCGTGGAAAGAGTGTGTCTATTAACTGCTTATCAACAACTGTTAGAGTACAGTTAGAGTACAATAGGGGAAATTAAGTCATGCAAGAGAGCATGTCATCAAAGACCATCTTCTCTGCTCCACATGTGTCAGAGGACCGAGCATATGGAATGAATAGGATCAAACGTAACACTATAGCAGTAAGTGCCGGCATCCTGAATGAAGGATACGGTCAAAAGGTTCATTTCTAGCCCGAAGGCAATGGTGTCATATATGCCATGCATAGACTAGAACATGCACAGATTTCACATACACACACACACACACACACACACACACACACACACACATTCATCACATTCCCATCCCTTCTCCATCAGTGAGAGAAAAAGGAAACACATTTGCTCGCCACAAATGTGAAAATGTGTCCGCCTATCAGCTCAGTGGCTTGAAAGAGAGGTTTTAAAAAGACAAAGGGAAAATCAGAGGGAAAGCCTTACCGAGAAACAGGGAGGGGGGTGAGGAGAAGGTTCGAGGGGTGTAATTTTGTCCCGATAAACTTTTCCGCTCAAACATTCAGGGAGGTCAACAGAGCGTGGCGAGTATGTGGTGCCCGGGGTGTGGTGGGGAAAAAGGAGCACTGAGTGTGTGTGTGTGTGTGTGTGTTAGTGTGTGTGTGTGTTTGCTGATGGCATTTACAGTGGTCTTCTTATGTTAGCCGAGAGGGGTTTCATTAGTGGAGGCTGAAAGAAGCCAATCAAGAATGGAGCCCTGAAAAAGCCCCGCCCGGCACTGGCTTTTGACGGATTAACCAAACCACAATAGATAGCGTATCAGCCCAGGGAAAAGAAAGAAAGAAAGAGAGAGTGGGAGATGTTGACTGATAGACAAACACACACACACACACACACACACACACACAGGCAGAAAGGCAGATGGGGAAGAAGAGAGCTGATAGGCTGGTGGCACGAGAAAGTGAGCGAGACGAAAAAGCAGGAAAGAGATGACAAACGAGACACATTCGCTGACATGAGCTTCCACTTCTCCTCAACGTGCTGGCATTAGAAAGCTTAATTTCTGAAGTTTCATCAGTGTTTGAGAGAGGACGCGGGGGGCAGACAGAGAGGACCTGCCAAAAACAGCAGCAAGACTTCTGAAGCCAGTCGTACTATAGAAAAAAGGAGGGGAGCCGTGAGGGCAGAGCACTTATGGCTCCCCTGTTTGCAACGTTACATGCTCAGTAATACTGATCCAATACTGAGATGTCTTCATATACAGAAGGGGGCTCTAACTCTATCCAGAGCCCCTAAGGACCATGTGAAATCCACAGTAAGATCTGTATGAAAGTAGATATGCCATCTCTGAGTAAAAATCTCACAGTGAGTGTGCATGTGTGCGTGCACGCTCTTGGCAGCAGGTCAGAGCTGGGCAGGAACAGACCAGTGGTGAGGCTGTTATTATTGGGTCTACAGGGACCTGGCGGCTGGGGAGAGCCGATTAGGCCCAGATTTATGCCTCACAGCGTGTGTGTGTGTGTGTGTGTGTGTGTGTACCATTACACATAACTTGGGCTCACAGTTAGTGCATGTATCCAGCACACTAGTTAATTCTGATAGAACACTGCCACTTTGTGGACATTGCTAGAACTGCTTATTTTATCAGTAAATATCACAGAGAAAGAGAAGGGGTTTGAAAAGAAGAACTCAAGCATATTTTTTAATTGCGACTTTCACATTGTTCTAACAGATAATGGTGATGTTGACCCGTGTAATCATTTTATCTCAAGAGCCAGGTGCATAGGCTGACATACTGGAGATGTGCCAGTGTCTGCGCAGCTAAGAAAGTCCGACAGCTGACGAGAGAAACACAAGCACGAGAGCACAGCTACGCACAACATCTCCAGCTGACAACACATGCCAGCAGGTAAAGAAGTGATGGAGTTCCTTTTCAGCCCAGCAAAGAATACCAGGAAAGCCCCCATGTCAGCCCTCAGCCACGCCATGTTTGCAGGATAAATAACAGCAGAGGTGAACTGAAAGTGGAGGCATTTATTATCCCAGCTCAAGCTAAACTGGGTCATTTAAAGGAGAGTAATGGGTGCGGTAATGAAAGGCAGTTGGGCTGGTTTCCTCTGGAGCTAATCAAAAGAGCTAAGAGGAGTGCCCCCCTAATAGAAGCAATTGCTACGCTACCATCACCAGCGTGCCTTCACACACCGTGACAAGTGCAAGTGTAGGGCTAAATGATGTTTATGTGTCAAAGTGGTACTCTGACACACAAACAAAGGCAAGAGGCGGCTTCTGCAATTAAATGACAGAAATCCTTCAATGAATCTGTATTCAGCCCAACCTTTAACACTCACATTCTGCACCAACCACAACCACATCACACTGTCGTACTCTTTTTTTAATACCGAAATAAGCGGTTGTATATGATTGAAAGCAGGTTTTTTTTTGCTTTTTAAAGACGGGGAAACCTGTTAAAAATATGCAACAGACTGCTTTTTCATTGCCAGTAGACGAGAGCTGTGTACACGACAGTAGACGAGAATGCCCTTTCTGTTTAATTTACTGCTGTGCCACGTTCAACGTCAAAGGCAAGCCAGAAAACTGATCAGTAAACAGTAGAAAGCATCATGGAGGCCAGTGAAAATGTAACGGTAATTCTCTTACTTGTACAGTCTGTCTCTCAAACATGGTGCAGACTTCATTTTGAAAACTGTCGGAGCGCTGCATGGATGATGACGGAGAGTATTTTGTTGTGGCCTGTCACTGCATCGTGCCGGCAAAGGCGCTAAAGTTAGTGGGTCCACCCGGGTGTCATATTTCCGTCACAGTTGATCGGAGCCTTTTGGAACTGGAGTCGATACATCTGTGACTACTGAAAAGTCACTTGTCCCCGGAGTGAATGCCAATTGAAGCCTTTTCCATTACTAAGTGTTGGTGGGGTTTTTTATGCAGTGGAAAAGGGTCTTCAGACAACTTGTGTATGTATATGTAAATGTTTAATTTTTAAGTGTCTAACATAGTTAAAAAATACATAAATAAAAATATATACATGTTTACTGTCTAAAAACTGTTCCGATTGTTACAATTCACTACTGGAGAAACTAACATTGTTTGCACTACAGCTCAATGTGTAGAAGTTCAGTCGGTAGGAACATTTTTAATTTATAATATATTTGTTACACATAAAACAACTTTGTCAGTGAAACTTGACTATGCATTTTTATCTATTAGTGCTCAATATATTGAATATGTTTCCCTAATCTTCATTACAACACAATGATTTTTGCGACAGGCCTATTATCACTTTTAAACAACATTTAAAATATTTTATTTCACTCATGTGATGGACCACGCACAGTGTTAAACCTTGTCAAATCTTACAATCATTCATTGGTTTATTTTCCGTAACTGCTTATCCTGTTTGGGGTCACGAGAGGCGGGGTACACCCTGGACAGGTCGCCAGACTATCAAAGGCCTGACACCATTCACATTCAGAGTCACCAGTTAACCTAACTTGCATGTGTTTGGACTGTGGGAGGAAGCCGGAGCAGCCAGAAAAACCCACGCTGACACGGGGAGAACATGCAAACTCTGCACAGAGGGGCCCCCCCACCTCAGGGTTCGAGCCAGGAACCCTCTTGCTGTGAAGCGACAATGCTAAGCACTGCACCACTGTTCCACACACAATAACCATAATATACACAATAACAATACAACTATAAGTATCAATTTAAATAGCTCTGCAGCACATGAACATTGAGTTTAGTATTATCTACCTAAGAGTTTGTTTCACTCTAAACCAGGCTTTTAGATTGGCTCGAAACTAAAAAAATTACTGTTTCATTTAAGCTGCAGTCAGTTCAACACTCACTTCAGCTCCGTCACCCCATCTCAACCTCAGGAGAGAGGAGGCCAGAGGGAGGCGAGGGGAAAAAAAGAAAGAACAACAATCACCTCTATTTTTCAATCAGGGCGGTCGGAGTGTTTTCCCTCATTAATCATACATTAATATTCGGAAACACAGCATGTTTTTCTACCTTAGAAAAACACTCCTTCCTCCCATCTCTCCCTCTCACCTCTCAGACCAATTCACCCCCACCTCCTTCATCGCACCCACAGTGTGTGTTAAGCTGTCAAGCAGTTATAAATAGCACAGCACACAGAGTGTGTGTGAACAGGTACTCACCTCTTAGACACACAGCATGGTCAGGTCCCTTACGCACAGTCAGACACACACGCACAAGTACACACATGCACAGCAGCGTTTGCGTTAGCATGGGCTGAAACACCCACGCTCCCCTCTGATGGAATCATCACAGTGACCAAACACCCAGCACGGGTGGATATCCCATCAGCCACCGGCAGCCCGGTGAGGGAGTGTTCTCAGTAGGAACGCTAAGCCGACAGGCCCCAGATGTGCACGCATGCTCACATACACACACACACACACACACACACACACACGCACACACACACACACACACAAATACACACATGCAATCATTCCGACTGGGCACGGCAGACATAGAGGCAGACAAACAACATAGACAGAAAAACAAGAACATCGTGGCACAAACAATAAGAGAGGCATGCACAGACAAGCAACACACACACACACACACAAACACACACACACCGACAGAGAGGTAGAGAAATTAAAGGCTAAGAAGATTTAGGAGTTAAAAATAAACAAGGCAGGAGTGAGGAGCACAGAGCAGCCTACTGCGAGCCTTCCTGGCAGAGGATACAGACACACCTGTGCTACACCACCGCTCAGCAGAGGGCTGGAGCTTTTAATTCCTCACAGAAAAAACACATGAGTCTCTGAGGTAGACAGAAAACACAAGGTGAGGTATGAGCATGCAACACATTTTCTCCTATATTTAAACTGATTATTTTTTAAACATTTCCAACCTCATTCAATCACCTTTTTATTCCAATGCACAACAAGCTCACCGCATGCCACATGCTGTAGGATAAACGCCAAACGCTACGCACAACGCACAGCGGAGTGGCATATGAACGACTGCCATATGAGCATGTGCGTACCCAGGGACACACACTCACACGCACACAAACAAACTGAGTCAGATTGTAAAACTGCATGGCTGAACACAGGCTTAGAGCTCTCCGTATGTTAATCTGGCCCATTGATAAGACCTGCTGAGCTGCTCTCTGCTCCCACACTCTGCATAATACAGACACACTCGTAGGTGTACACACACACACACACACACACACAAACAAAATACATTCATAACATTTGCACTGCCAAATGTAATTATTCTAATCTCATCAACAGATATGCAAATTAAAAAACACTACAAATCATATATGTATCCAAGCATGGAGTGCGATATGGACAAAATATTTTACTTTAACAATTCATGTTGGTTTGGTATTAAAAATATGCTATTTTTATTTTCTTTATGTTTTAGCCATCATGCACCGGACTGTAAGAAGATAAGTCATTTTCAGCTCTAAAGTATTTCCACAACCATTCTGGGTAAAATTTGACACAGTAATTGCTGCGTATGGTCAACACAGGCAACATAATTGTGTACTATGATTTGAGATGTCAAAAATCTCCCCTGATTTTATAAAAGTGAGCGATAATAAATGATAAATATCTACATGCCCAGCCCTACTGTTAAAATCACTTTGATACTACCTGTAGAAGTCAAAAATATGAAGAAGAACACACCTCTCTCACATGCATGTTCTCCAGCTGCGCTTCAGCCTCCTGCGCCGCCATGGTTATGATGCCCGTCCGCTGTCCCCGACCCCAGTGTCCCTGACCTTGACTTTGACTTTGACTTTGACCTTGACCTTGGCCCTGAAGCATCTCCAGCAGCCGTTGGATGCTCTCATCTCGGGCGCCCAGAGTCTGCTTCTGAGAATCGATCCTCATCTCCATCTCTTCCATGGTCTTCCTCAGCAGGAACAGCTCCTTGGCCTGCCGCTCGTGCTCCGACTGCAGCCGGAAGAAATTCTCCTCTGAAGGATCTAGGGGAGGAGGTGAGGAGAAGCCGTCACACCCAGGTACCTGGCAGGGGCTGCAGGGCCGGAGTGAGCTAGAGCCAGGCGCTACCGCCGGACCTTGGCTGGGAGCGTAGAGGGAGTGGTTTGGGCTGTTCCTCGGCCCAGGCTGAAGGGTGTTGGCCGGGCTGATTCTCTGCGCGGCTACTGCAGTGTTACAGCCGTAACCAGGGCTGTGAATGATGACATCAGCTTCCTGTTGTCTTGGATTATAGGTAATGGAAGGGCTGGCTCTCGGGCTATTCTTCGGTCCAGGGCTGTGCAGGTTGCTGGAGCTTTGTCTGGGGCTGTGGCCAGGGCTGAGCCCCCCTCTGTGGTCCTGGTCTGTGTGGAGTTCTCGATACGAGCCGGAGTTGCCCTGCTGACGCTGTTGCTGCAAGCGACTGTTCTCCCTGTGAGCCCTCAGCTCCTCCTGAAGCTCCTGAACTGTCAGCGGGAGCTGCTACAAAGACAGAGAACGATTAAGCCTGTGTTCATTCAATAAGTACACAAACACTAAACTTAAAATTCCCAAACACATATAGAAAATAAACGGTGTGGTACATAAAACAGACCTTGTTTCTTCTGATATCCCCAGGCTGCTGCAGGGAAATGTGACACAAGAAAGACACACACATGCATAAAGCCAAAACAGAAACAAATACCCTAAATATCAAACCATTATGTAGATTACTTCAAATTGCTGAGTGATGGTTACATGCTTTGACCACCGGGGGGCGACACTTCTCTTCAAAACACAGGGGGAATGCACAGAAGGAAGTGGAAGCAAGGGGGATTTGGGTTTGTTTGCCGCGAGATGAAGATGGGGAGAAACGACACAACAAACAAATTTGTGATTTATGAAAAAAAACAATAGGAATTTATCACCTCAAAGAGAATCAGAGCAAAAATTATTGACTGAAATGTAATTAGCCTTTATAGGGTCCCACTCAATAATCAATTGATAAATAAACTGACAGTATTAATAATCAGTAATTAATCAAGGATACAAATATAACATTTACAAACCAGGTGGCAAAAATCATGACTTCAGTCCTTAATAAATAAAACATTCCCTGTTATGCAGCGTATTTAAAATCCATGGGAAGATTTTTGTCTTGAATCCATTTTCATGGGTTTAAAGAACGTCTGCACAGTGTGACTTTGTAATGAGCCCAAAGTGTGTTGTGTGTTGGGGACAATACATTTACACTTTTCTCTAACCATTCCGGCTTTTGCTGCTATTTTGTGATACAAAATACAATATGCTAATTTACATCCACAGCTCGCAGCTTTCCTGACTAGCAAATGGAAATTCATTCTCTGCTTGAAACCATGGACACAGAGCACTCTTGATGATTGACTGAGCAGGGTGAGAGAAGGCTGTAAGGAAATCAAATAAAAGACGAAAAACAGAAACACACACACACACATCTTCCTAAACAGTCTATGTCAAAGTTTCATTGAACACAAAACACACTAAACGGAAGTTAAGTTACTAATGTTTTCATCTCTGTGAAGATATCATTAATTTTTCCTCACATATTCTAACTCCTCTGCTCGAGTCCAGAAGGTGGGGAGCGCCAAGGACACGGAGTTGAGATGTAGGAGGGAGGCGAGGGTGAACACGGATAATCAATGCAACGAGCTAGCACTGAATATCAAGTCAGAGTGGGTGGACAATCCTCCACACAAACACACACATACACAGCCAAGACTGTAGACACAAATACATATGTACAAGTGTGCACACGTGCACATACACACACACATACACAAAACAAACAGATGGTGAGGAGACAACTCCGGTCATTGCGGCTGAGAGGAAAGGTGACATTCCTTATGCTAATTACAAAGTTCTCCTGTCAGGCTGAACTACTTCCCTGAATGTCTCAAAGGGCAAAACACTGGGGAAATGGAAAAGGAAAAAAGAGCAGGAAAGTGATAATCTGAAAGGAGAGATGGAGGATAGAGGTGATAGGGAGAGTGAGGTGGCAGCAGATAAGAGATGGAATAACATCTTCTGCATGAGGTGTGGCTTTTGTGTTTTTAAAGTAAATAAGTAAATGAAAATAACAGCTTTTTCCTGACTTCATATGATGATATGGAAAGTTAAAGGGATACTTTGACCTCCAAATTACCATTTGTATATCAGTTACTCACCCCATGTTACGCTGAGTTTGTCAAGAAAGCATTTTTTTCCACATGCCTGCAGATGGCAAATTACTATTTTTGACAATGTAGTCTGGTTTTGAAGAGAGCACAGATAAGTTTCACTGTTGGTTCAGTTCCTCATCAGTAAGGGCTGTCTGTTTGGGAAGTACTGAGCATACGACTGGATAAATGAGGCTTGGATTATACTACATGAGTTGTGTGATTGTTCGAAGACATGCCCCTTAATAGTCGACCCAACATTAGTCGACCAGAAAGGTCATTAGTCAGCAAGATTTCATTGGTTGCTTAGTTACAGAAAAAAAACACAAACAATAAAAAACATGAACTCTTCTAGGAGCTGCACCTTGTCAAAAGAAATCAAAACCTTAATTTGAAAGGACAGACACAGGAAGTGGCCATGCTCAACAGTCAGTCAGGAGTCACCTTAAAAACCAATCACAGCCTACAGATTTCTCGGAACCCATCGGTTGTATTCAGCGTCTGACTTCTGGCAGACGGCGATACAGCCTCTGGGGGCAGACCCCCGATTTTTTGGCATTCCGGTTTAATTTGGGCGGAGGAGGCGAATTTCCGTTTCCGACTTCCGTTTATATATAAGTAAATACGCTGAACCATTGCGATGGATTCAGAGTTTGCATTGACGCCAATTATGTTCCGCCTCGTTAGTTCACCGCACGGAGCATTTAACCTGGCAACAACTGCAGCCGGCTCAAACGTGATTGGTCAATATCACGCGGACTACAAACAGCCTACAACCGGAAACCGGAAACCTTCTGCTCTTCTTCCGGAGGCAAGATCTCCAGGGTTTGCCTACAGACTCTACATTCACTGAATGTAGAGTCTGTATATAGAGACTAGATAAATATGGAAAAGTTGATCATGTTAGTGCAGGGCTACCCAGAGCTTTACATCTGTCCCACGGACGATAGGCCTACACACTTATAAACAGTGCCTGGAAGAAGATCAGCTCTGCACTCAGGATTTCAGGTAAATAGGCTATATGATGCTTGGTAAGGTTGATTAACAACCTCAGATGCAACCTGCTGCCGCGCTCTTGAAATCTGGCACAGAAAAGGCACAAGAGTAGCACCCAGAGCCCGACCTCGTGTTTTCCAAGCGTTAAAGACGCAGCATGTGTACAGCCCCTAATTTCCAGGGCTGGTACCTGCGGTTATTCCACAGGCTATTTAATAACATGTTGGCCAGGAAATCCAAAGTGTGGGATCATTTTGAGAAGGTGAAGGACGAACCCAAGGTGATATGTAAACTCATCTTCATTGGTCGACTACAAACATGACGTATCATCTGAAACATGTCAGTAGCTACATGCTCATTAGCCACTTAGCACAATCATTACTGCTTTGCCGACAGCGTCATTAACAGGCGGCTCGCTCAGTGTGTGACGTGCACTTGTAGATAAAATATAGGCCTATATTAATGAAGGTTCATTAGTACGGTTTTGGATTTCTCTGTAATGTAGCACAGTGTTAACAATGTTACTGATACTATTCTTTCTCATACCTTCAACTCAAACCATTGTGTTGCCCCGCCCAAAATATATAATCTAATAATTAAATTAATATCGTAAACATGTGGGCGAGTACTCGACTAATGGCCCTAAATGACAACTATTGGTTGACTACGAAAATTCTTATTTGGGGGCAGCCCTAGATAATTCGAAATGTGTGATATTTTGTTCGAACCTAACACGAGGTGAGTTACTGATATAGAAATGGTCATTTGAGGGGTGAAGTATTCCTTTAAGGTTTAAGTTGTGAGACAAAAAGGGTTGGTAACAATTTATTAAGTGATATATTGCTAACAAAGTCTCCGTCATCATCAGCTGGAGCTGAACTGCCCCTAGGCGTGTGGCCATAAGAAAGTCAAGAATATCATTTTTTCAATAATGTTTTGTACATAGAGCTAAGGTAAAGCAAACTGGCTTACTTGGTTACAGTAACAACAGAGCTCAATGATAACTCATACTAAAACTGGACACATCACTAGCTAGAGCTGGTGTGAAATAAGACTATGTTCATTTAGAGGAGTGATCAAGGATAGGTGAGTTCAGCATGAGAAAAAAACTACATACAAGGGCAGGAGGACGCATCATAACTACAATTTGTAAATGGATTCTATGCCTGTTTTGATCCAATTCAAATAATGAACTTATTCTGCCATGATATATTCTAAACATGCTTTCATTCTTTTAAGTGTACATACGGGTTCTCATAAGGTACACAAGGGTTATGTGATCAGATATCAACAGATACTGTACTGTGAGTGGTTTCAGTGGATAAGTGAAGATACAAGAAGAGAAGGTAAGTGTGGGAGACAAATGAGTCAACACTTGAAAAAAAATAATACACTAGTTGAGTGAGTCTGTCACCTGAAGGAGCAGAATAGACACGAACACATCCATCTATCACACATAGGGCCAAGTGCCTGCAGACACACAGAGGCTGGTAACACTGACTGTCCTGCTTCACTGTAATGCCTCATACATGAGAATGTTAAGGCTTAAGACACAATCGTATGTGTATAAGCCTTACTGAAGCCTCTCTGGCATTTTGTAGGAGGTAAAAGTGTGTAGTTTTTTCTGCACATGTAGGTGAGTTGACTCTGCATATGATTTTCTCTTACATATTTTCCTCTTAACCTGTGGTGCTATTAATCAATCTGGATTTTTTTAGTGTGAGTTGCAGTGTGTTGGAGATGTAGGCCATACAGACGTCTGCCTTCTCCACAGTATAACTGAACTAAATGGCACTCGGCTTGTGGTGCTCAAAGTGCCTAAAAAAATAATCACGCAAACTCGAAAGTAAAGTCTCTTTTCAGAAATCATGACCTGGCCCTAAAATAATACCACCATATTTCAGGGTATTAGTTAAAATAAAATATTCTATTATTAATTCAAGAAAATAGAATTGCAACAAATAAGTGATATAATTTTACAGTTTGCCTTCAAATATTCAGTAAAAACTAAACTAAAATGATCTCTCATTTCTTTAGTTTGTAAGCAACAACAGTGACTCAGAGTGAGATTCAGATTCTGTAAACAATATTAATAGTTCAACAAATTAAAATCTACCACAAATTACAAATTTAAACAGCTCCCAGTTACAAACAAATGTCCCCTGCGATCTATATATATCAATCAACAGGTGATTTCCTTCTTTTAGCAAAATCCTGATGATTGAGTTGTTTTTTTTAATCTGATTCCTCTAATCATGACGATGTAACCTGTGACAGGCTGTCATGCTACGATAAAAATTAACAGTCAGATATATGTCATTTTTTGTCGAGTCGCGAGAGCCACGTAGGTTTTACTTTACCAAAGGTTTATGACACAATCACTTGATAACACCGACTCACATGTGCAAATGGCGAGAAAGGATAGGGAGAGACGCTGTGCTGCTGCCAGAGGAGCCGCCGAATGAGTTCCCTCTGAGCAGTAACTTGCTTAAAGAGTCTGAGAAGTCCGGGGCTGTTCATAAAACATTCAGGACACCACAGTTTACTCCTGAAGCTGCTCATCTTTTAGGAACCACTGCGGAGTCTGTAATAATTTCACTCTCAGCCATGCTGACATCAAGTACATCAATATGTCAACAAGCCTAAATATCAGGAGCATTACAATATGAATTTTTCGTATGATGTTAAAAACTATACCGCTATTATTGTGAACGAGATGATGTGGCACAGCCCTAGTTGGAACTTTCTACCAAACTACACCTGCCAGCAGTATCACCACACAGAAGGAAGCGTGCATCTACTGCTAGCTCACCTAGCACCACTAAGCTAGCTAACATTACAGCTTAAGCGAGGAGGACGCCATTAATGTTTACACCTTGTGCTGTCGAGAGAGTTGTCGACCATGAACAGATGCACATTTCCTTCTGCGCAGTGATACAGTTGGTGGGTGTATTTTGGTAGAAAGAAAATAGTTCCTACATGAAACTGCTCACAACAAGGTCTGTGGATTATCTTGAGTAACTGGGAAATGATTTCTGGAAAGAGACATCGCTGTTGAGTTTTCAAATGTATCTGACAATCCGCCTAGTTTCATTATATTCAAGAGAAGGCAGACGGCTCTATGGCCGATATCTTCAATACTCTGCAACTCACATCAAAACAATCTAGACTGATAAACAGCACTACAGGCACTACTGATTTTGAGTGTAACTGTCCCCTTAAAGAAGAGAACAATCAGTGGTAAAGGAAGATCTTCCTGCAATTTTAGCATACAACTCTGATGAAGGCAGCCGTAAAATAAATGAAGCTGCACAACAGTTCCTGAGGGAACAAAGTTATTCTGTATTAATTTTCAAACTTTATTTAGTTTTTATTATAATAAAATCACAGGAAAAGTGTGTGCATGTGTGGGTGTGCATGTCACAGTGTCCTCACACTGTATGACAATGTGAGATGAAAAAGCTATAAATACAAATGCAGAGGTGGCACCTTGGTTACAAGAGGGAGGAGTCAGTCAGATGGAAGAGGAGCGCAGATATGATTAAAGTTTTTGCATGCATGTTATGTGTGAGAGACAGGGAGCAAGAGAGGGCAATAAAGAGATTCAACAGACACTGCACAAGCTTTATAGTGCTATGGGAAGATGAAGTATGTCTTGTATCTCAAGAGAAACGCTTCTATGTTTCCACCTGCCAAACACAGACACACAAGGAAGTTAAACGCCACACGGGCAAATGGAGAAACAGAAGGCTGGCAAGACAGAAAACAGAAGGACGACAGACAAAGAAAGAACAGATATACAGTAGTTACACAGTGAGACAGAGAGATGGATGATGGTGCCTCAGACTGAGTGGGACAGACTCCAGGGAGAGGTGGCACAGGACAGACTGGTCACTATCCCTTCAGGAGTAGCTGTGAGTTTTTTTAGAAGCTGACTAACACTGCTGAATGGCTGCCACTAGGGCACGTTCCCATGGAAACACAGACAGCACCGAGCTTGGCAAGCATCTTTACAAATGAACCACACAGAAGCCTTTTCTATGCAACCTTGAAGACAGGAACAAAAGGTGTGATGTGAGAGGTATGATGTGCAGAGGAGATGGGTGGGTCAACAGCAAAAAAAAAAAAAAAAAAAAAAGTCTGAATGTGACGTGTGAGCAGACAAATCAAAGAGTTTGGTTTCCTAAAAGAGATTTAATACAGACTTGCTGGTGTTAAGTATTAAATCCTGAAGCTGTTCAGATGAAATTGCTTGTGTTTTGCTGACAGCCATTTAATAACTGTGGAAATATAAAAGTGGAAATGTATCATTTTTGAAACAAACTTTTTTCTCACCTGCAAATCCTCTTGGTTGGTCCTGTACTGGTCCTTCAGAACTGAGGTCCTCGCTCCCTCCTCCCGCCTCACCCCCTTGTCTCTTTTCACATCTGGGCTCCAGAAGTTGACATTGTTCATGCTAGGGCCCCTCCCTACATCCAGCTCTCTCCGCAGGTTTTCATTCTCCCTCTGCAGCTCCCTCAGCTGAGACTGGAGGTCAAACGACGGAGCCTCTCCCCGTCCAGCCGAATCCAGTGCCTGTGTGTGTCTCCCAGACTGGCGCTGCAGACTGGAAGTCCTTCCAGGATGCAAGGTTTGGTCTCCATAGGGGTCTGACTGGTGATGTAGCCCAGAGGAGGTGATGTTAGGGGTGCTGCCCATGGCTGTTGTTCGGTTAGTGTATGATGAGCGGCTGGTGCTCCTGCCCAGCGTCATGGTGCCTTTAGGGTACCCACCAGAGGGTTCCAAGGAGTCTCGCTCACAGGGGTACATGGTGCCTGAAGTGGCATAGGCAGCACTCAGTGACTGGATGTTCTCCATAGACAGGGTTTTACCCCCCGGAGCTGTCGCTGAACCACGAGTCGCTCCCTTGTCTGCTGCTGCCTGGCCAGGTTTGATCTTTGGACCTGGCCTCGACACCGACCCTTGACCTCCAGCCAGTTTCGGCACTGGAGCAGGCACAACCCCTGACACGGAGCCTGGTTCAAGCCCCGAGCGGGAGCCTGGCGCCGAGCTCGCAGCCTGTTTGCCTTTCCCCTGTTTGGGGGATCTGGAAAAGCGTGAATGGGATGTACTGCCATCAGTGTGCCCGCTACTCTTTGCGCCAGCAGACAGCTTGCTCTGCGCGGGCTTGGCTCTAATGTTCAAAGGCATTTTTTTATATGGCAAAAGTGGACGTCTGAGAAGAAACTGCTAAGCGTGGAAATATTCTCATGTCCCTGTGCAGAACCAGAGGAAATACCAAGGTTTAGAATAAAGGCCACCTCTCGGCCTCTCAGTTTTCACCTGTCCATTCCTGATTGTTTAGGGCTTGAGTCTCATTAAGTCCTATTAGAAGAAAATGGCAGTGACTGTTGGCTAGAGGGCTCCCAGACACACAGGCCAGAGGTCTTGCGGTTTCAGCTACAGTACAAGACATCATGGATTCTAGACGGGCAAAACAAGGACAAACATTTTAAGAAAGATTAATCATTTTAAAAAATATATATCACACGTAACTATGGTTCATAGGCTGGATGTGGTTTTACTAGACTATTGCTTTACTTTGAGCAATATAAACAGTTTTTTTCCTCCAAAACCTTTTTCTGCTTTAACAAGACATTTAAAACTCTTCAAATGTCAAATGTGGTCTAAACACAAGCACCTGTACAAGAAATTTGCCTTAATAATGATACAAAAAACAATTTAAAACCGGCAGAATTATGATTTAAATCAGGGACTATCTGCCTACAAATCTGACCAGCAATGCTAATATTCTCTTCACTAGTACGCCCTTCATGGCTCCTGGTTGAAAACATAATAATTAAGACCTTATAGACTTAAAAGAGTTAATACCACAATTTATTGCACTGTATAACCCATAGAAGCAGCTACAAATATTTATTATGATGCATCACAATCATATGCTCGATCAAGTGCAGTGGTTTCCATCCTTGCACCCACTGTTCATCTTCTTTCCCTGCTCAGGTTTGGCCAATCAAGTACTGAAAGGCACCAGATTTTGATCAACTAAAAAGCTCTGCCTCAGCTAATCAAGTGTGGGCAGAGCTCAGAGCTGTGGGAAGTACGCAAGATCGTCTGTCCACAGGACAGTAAGACAATGTCTCTTTAACCATGTACAGAATGGCTTTCCCAGCCGCAGTCACCACAGTAAATGGTGAAAGACAGAAACAGGAAGCAGGAGCAGCATGAACATTTCAGCACCATGGACAGTACTCATTCTACCGCCATAAAGCACATGGACTCTAAAACTAATAATCAGGCCTGGAAAAGAATTGGAGGACCAGTCTTTATTATGTGGCATCCCTCTCAGGCAGTTGCTAAGCACACTGTCAGACTTTACAGGTACCTCAGGATTCGACTAAAAATGGACATAAGCATGTTGAAACTCTGCCCATATTAAAATACAGTCAGTATTACACTGTGTTTATGTCATACACACTATCAGGTCATTTGTTGCTTTAGAGGCAAAGAGCCGTGCATTAATACAAGCAGGTATATCACCAGGAAATCAGAGTAAGCACAACCGAGTGCATGATGGACCAGATATTGGGGTCTGTCTGCAAAGCAGAGGCAAATCCAAATCATAATCCCTCCTCTAATCCAAGAGGATTGGGTGCTTTGAGTCACTGCACAGGATGCAACTGAGAGATTGGTTAAGTCTGCTTGTCAGTCATAACATAGCTGTCAATCCCTTATCCATCATTGTTAGAGACAATGAATTCAGCCTTATGTGCCAGCAATGGAGCCACAGAGTCCGTGTTTAATGTTGCTCCTCAAACTGTGCATTTATACTTGTAAAAAAAAATCAATGACAATGATTAAAATAAAACCACAAAGATAAGTGTGTCTAAACCATTTGAAAAGAGAAAATTGCAAACATGCTCCTGAAGCTTTGAGCACAGATACCAGATATACTTTGCATTAAGATGGAGGTCAGTGTAACTGGTTAGTTTCGAAGGGCACGCGCCAAGTTTACGCAGCTGTATATCTCCTTGTTAAAAAAAATATACTGATATACAGAACAAAGACAAAGAAGGACTGACGAAAAACACAAAAATAAAACGCCAAAAGTAGGAAACGTCTCACCTTGCCTCGCCTCACCTCGCGCAGCTGCACTTACTTTGAGTTGGCAGCCAGCTGTTGCCGCGAAGACAAAACTCGAGTCACCACCCAAACTGCAGCAGCGTTAACTCGTTGTAACATTTACCTTCAAACAGCTCAACAAGCGGCCACCCTGGCGCACAAACTATAAAGTAGACCGCACTATCTGTGGCGGGTGGCACGGCTGGAACGGTCGCAGTGCATGTGACTACGCAGCCCGGACACAGACGCCCGAATAACTCTACTACGACCACGGCATGAAGGATTAGTTTCTTGCTCATATGCACACGGCTACATGACTTCGAGCTAGTACCTTACATAATAATTAATCTGCCGCACAAACTGGAAGCACAGTTTCATTTTGTTTAAATCATGTTGTCAAAGGATGCCACGGAGTCCAGGTGTGCACGCGACGTGTGCTCCAGCTTACCGGACGGGTACCTCTCCATCACCGTCAAGTCCCAACAGCACCCTGTCCGACCTCGGCGCAGGCTCCATGATCTCATCGGCTCAGCTCTCTCATGACCTGTCCTGCCATCGGGTCCGCGTGGGCGCGCTCTCCCAAGCTGGCGCGTGCGCGACCTACGCGGCGTGGTGGGGCAGCGCTAACAGCAGTGATGGGAGGGTTTCTCTCTTTTTTTTTTTTCATACACCTACAAGCGTCAGGTGGGCATGGTACTTGCAAGGTCTTACCTAGCCTACACCCAATTTTTTTTTATATATATATATATATATATATGTATATATATATATAATAATAATAATAATAATGTAGAGACTGGAGAACTAAAGTAAAATGACACCACATAATTGGATAAAGCCACAATACGCATTTTGACATGTCACAGTAGGAATAATACAGTTGTAAAAAGGGAAATTAATAATGGCTAAATTCCATTTACCTGCTTCCGGTTCCTTGTATCCTCTATGTTTGCTTGCACGTGATTATAACCGATTACCCAGGGCCTCAGTGAGCAGGTGCCCTTGAGAAGCCTGGCTTTGTTTGCAAGTTTTGATTTCCAAGTAATTAGTACCACAACAAAATTAAAACTGGAGCAATAAATCAGATGAAAGACTGAACTTTGTGTTGACAAATAATCCCTGTTTCCACCAACACTTTCAGTATGGTACCTTTGGAACCAAAAGTAACCCTTCAAATATGGCACCTGGAACCTTAATCCGCTTAAGCCCAGTTTCCACCGAGCAGTACAGTACGGTTCAGTTCAGTTCTGTACTTTTTTTCCCCCCCCGTTTCCACTGTGAAAAGTTGTGGATGGTACCAATCGAACGTTCCGTACCATCCCCATTTTTGGTCCCCCCTCTGTTGGGGTACCTAGCACACAGATCTGGTACTAAAAGGTGGAGCTGTGAACACTGCAGTCTGTTGATTGGTCAATAGAGGACGGTCACTCTGCTCAGGGCTGAGTTGTGGCTGGTTTTGAGGCTCATGTAACCACTGTTCATACTGTGGAGAGTTTTATTAGTAAACTGTAACTATAAAATGAAAGGATGTTTTGCTGTCTCATGTAGCAGCTGTAGTCACACAAAAAAATAACTTAATTCACTAGGCCGACTGCCGGCAGCTTTTAAGGTGGAACAAGAAGTAGAAGAAGTAGAACAAAATAAATCAGGCTGCAGTGAGAGTCTCTTTCCATGGGATATGTAAAAATAGCAGGTTTGTGCATTTAGTCCTTCTCAGGCAAGCTCGGGGGTTAATGTTGCCGGAGCCCACAGGAACGACACTCCACGATGCTTTTTTTCTGTAAGTGAGGATTAGGATATATGCAGTTCACGTAATCCGGTCGAAATTAATATGCAATTTTAATCGCTTGAAGATCCACTCATTAATAAAAATCTATGTCATCCAAGAGAGACAGGAAATGGTCAAAGGTGTGCTGATGGATTCACATTGTGAACTCCTGTATTAAGAAACATTACAAGTTCCACCTAAAAGTCACCAGCATTTGGCCCAGTGAACCAAGTTAATTCTCTGACTCCTGAATCCTTTCATTTTATAGTTACAGTTTACTAATAAAACTCTCCACAGTATGAACAGTGGTTACATGAGCCTCAAAACCAGCCACAACTCAGCCCTGAGCAGAGTGACCGTCCTCTACCGACCAATCAACAGACTGCAGTGTTCACAGCTCCACCTTTTAGTACCAGATCTGTGTGCTAGGAACCCCAACAGAGGGGGGACCAAAAATGGGGACAGTACAGAACGGTTCCTTTGGTACCATCCACAACTTTTCACAGTGGAAATGGGGAAAAAAAGTGTACCGAACTGAACTGAACCGTACTATACTACTTGGTGGAAATGGGGACTATAGTGAAAGCTCTCTGAGACCCCTCTACCCCCTTAAAGGCACAAACTGGCTTAGTCCACCCTGCTAGGATTAGTCTCTAAATGCAGTGGTGGAGCATTAACATCCACTGTCACGTCTTTCCCCAAGAAAGGGAAATTGGGGTGCCAAATAAGAAGGAAGAAAGAAAGAAAAGAAAGTGACTTTGTGGGGGGGAAATCCCTACGTACTTGGGAGAGACATGGATCAAGTGAGGAAGGCCCTCAGAGATGGCTTATGCATAGGGCCCAGAATTTGGTGCTACGCCCCTGGTGTCACTAGTGACACCTATGCTTTTCCTACTATGACAAGTCAAAATATCTGCTGTGAGAAAAGTCTGTTAGTTTTGGCATGCTTAAAGACTTAACAGGTTACTAGAAGACTGAAGCTGTTCAGTTTACTCAAAATAACTCAGCAGAAAATACGTAAAAATAACCGTTTCAGGTCAGAGGTTTCACTCTCAGAAAAGAGTTGCAGTTTGTCAATGGAAATCCCAGGCCATGAGACAGAGCATTAAATGAAGATCCCAGCCCACAGGTTAAAACAGGTGTACAGTGGAACACCCACTGCTCTGGCAGCAGATCTTGTATTGATATTTTGTTACTTTTAATATTTTTGTCTGTACATCTGTCACTTTGAATCTCCTACTCTGGTTATCAGCCTGTAGATGTTTACTTGGCTGCCTTGCTTTGTAAATTCGTGTAACTACACAATAGATCTGTCCCAAGTGTTTCTCTTAAATTTCTAGAAAAAAGGCGGGTGACTTCTTACTTTGCATGAATGCAGCAGATAGCAGTTGTTAGTTGTCCCTGACCTGCAAGAAATAATAATCAGTTTCATTTCCTCTCGACATCTAACAAAAGAGAAGTGAAATTTCCATACTGGGGGTGGGGGTGTTTTCTATACAAGCACACTACAGTATTCATTTGTAATACTCATGAAATCAAGCAACTCAAGTGAAATCAAGTCAAGTTTATTTATGTAGCCTACTATCAATGTCTCAATGTCTATGTACAATATACAGTGTCTTAATTAACTTTGTAGCCCACAATAGCGACATGACCCTTCCTGGGCAAAGCAAACAAGTATCAAAGAAAAAACAGAAAACAACAGAACACAATCTTGAAAAGTAAAATATTTACAGAACTTGAAAGACTGGTGATATCTTAATCTATAAAAATGGTGCATATTAAAAACATCAACCAAGTATATTTACGTACGTATATGATACAATTGTCAAAATGTGCACTCTATCAGCACTTAAAAGAAAGTCAGATGAAACTTTCACTCATGTTATTGTCATAGAATTTGAGGTTATCTGATGACAATGCCATTCTCATTTGGTTCCAGAAAAGGGGTTGGGCCCTTGGGTTTCTCGGCCAGGACAAGACAGACTTTTTGCACAGCCGTTTCCTCAGCTGTAGGTACTTCAGTTTGGGAAACATCTCATCCAAAAGAACCAGCATAGCTGCATCCACCTTAAATGGACACAGAGATCATTTTGTGTTGTGAAAACATGGCTACAACGGGATATGAATCACACCCACAAAATGCATGTGAGAATAAAAAGTTCAGTTTTACTCACCTTCTCGTCCAGAAGTCGCTGCTGCACCATGAAGAAAGCCTGACGGATCACACCATTCACTGTCTCACCACCGGTGGCACCGCTGGACAGCACAAACACCGTCTTCACACTGCTGTACACGGCGTTATGCAGATTGTCGATACATGAGACCCCAGGAACCCAGTCCCTCTCCTCCAAACAGAGACAAAACCTCCTGTGCCCTGAATTCTCCAGATTGACAGTTAACTCATTGTAGACCCAGTCCCTCACAGCCTGGTTACTGGTGTCAAACACAACAAAAGCATCATAGTGGTGTTGCGAATCACTACCAGCCAGCTGGGAGTAGCCCTTATGTCCTGCCCAAAGTACTTGTAAGCAATACCACAGATCCCAGCCATAGAGATGCTTCAGTAGGGGCAGAACAGTGAACGTCACAGCCAAGAAGGAACAGATGAGGAACGCTAAGCTACCATATATGTCCTGGCAGGAATGCTGGTCCATAGACAGTATGCTCATGCCCTGCTGGGACTCTGGGTAATCACAGTGTATATGTGTGGTGAGATAAGGAATCTGTATCGAAGTATTACGCAGAAAGTCCGCAAACCAAGATGTATTGCAGTCGCATTTAAAGGGGTTGGCATGCAGGGTAAGTTTCTGCAGGGCACTACCATCTTTAAAGGGGGCAGGGAGAAACTGACGGCTTAACACTTTGATCTGATTGTGGCTGAGATACAGGTACCGTAGGGATTCCACGTTACTGAAGAACATCTCAGGAATAACACTAAAGCGATTGTGACTGAGGTCCAAGAGAGAAAAATTTGCTCCAAATCCTATGACCTTATTAGGCAAGTAATAGAGTTTGTTTTGACTGAGGTTCAGATGACATAAATTGCTAAGCACTGAGATGTTTTGCCACGGGAAATACTTCAGCTGATTGTCGCTGATAATAAGGGTCTCAAGGCTTTCTGGGAAGTTGCAAAACACTTCTGGTGAGATTGACATCAGATTATTGTCAGAGATGTCAAGGTAGGTGAGGGCTGTCAGGTTTTGGAAGAACTGAGTGTACCTGTTGTTATCAGACATCCACATGATGTCCAGGTTATTCCCATAGAAGTAGAGGTACTTCAGAGAGCTGCTAATCAACTGTTGATCTATTCGCACCCCAATGTTGTTGTTTGCCAGGCTGAGAACTTCCAGGTTTGTCAGATTTTGAAGGAACTCAAATCGATGACCCATGCCCTTCATTTTAAAGTGAAATTCATTGTTGCCAACATCTAAAACTTTCAGAGTGGAATTAAGCTCACTGAAAGCTTCTCTATAATAAAAATCAAGTCTATTGTATGACAAATTAAGAAAAACTAATTTTTTCATGCTAGCAAACAGCCCACCCTTTAATGCCTGGCTCATGTAATTGAAGGAAAGGTCTAAACAAACAACATCTTCCATGCCTACAAACACCTCTTTGTTTAGAGACAGAATGTCATTTTGAGACAGGTCAAATGTAAGTTTACGGCTGCAGAAATCGTTTTTAAAGTCCAATAATGATTTAAATTGTAACACATTATCCTCCCCCATTTCCAGCCTGTTTGATTGGTTGGATTCCCAGATATCATTACCAGATGTAGCTTTTCGATCT